GGGTGCGCACATTCGGGGCAGGGAGCGGAGGGACGACGTGTGTGGATGGTGCTGAAAGCAGCTCTTCAAACGGGATCCTGCAGGGACCCAAGTAACCCGGGTCCGACCCTTCCCCGCCCCACACATCAGTGCCTGGGAGCGGCAGCCACCTGCCCTGCCCCACCCCGGGAAACCCAGAGAGGGGGAGGGAGCCCCTGGGGGCAGCAGCCTGGGACACCCGCACCATGCTCTTACCGGCTGGGAAGGCATTTGGCTGTACCAGCCCCAGGAAGGAGTGCACCATGCTGGACAGGCCGGGCAAGCTGCCCGCGGGGGGCGCCGGCCCCGGCTGGTACTCCGGCTGTGAAAGGTTCTGCAGGGCCATCCTGGGCCGGGCTCCGGGGCAGCTCCAAGGGCCGCCAGGGGGAACGCGCCGCTCTGGGGGTGCAGTTAGCTCCTGGCCTTCCTCCACACGCTGCTCCCCAGCAGGGCCAGGCTCCTGGAACAGACAAGAGGTGTGAGCAGGCCACAGACCCAGCAGGGCACTGGGCCCAGCAGGAAACGCAGGGGAGAGATAAAATACCTGCTGCTTCCTGCTGGGGGAGAAGAAAGAGGAGTGGCTGTCAGACGGAGCCCCAGGCAGGGATACACACTGCAGGGCAGGGCAGGGCAGGGCCAGGCCAGGTGTGGGGCAGCCCTTGGGGGGCAGGGCCGAGCTGGGGACACCCCATAACACTCCAGAGCAGGGGAGCCAACGGCTGCCCGCGAGAGGTGGGCGAGCCTGCGGCCCTGCAGCCACCAGTGTGTTGGGTTTGTGGGTTGCCCATGTTAATTTATGAGGAGAGAAAAACAACCTCCCCCCATCCCGGCTCCTCCTGCCCCCCACCACAAGGGCCTTGCCCACATCTGGCTCAATGTCACCTCCTGCCTCACCCGTGGCCTTGGGCAGCCTCTGAGGTGGAGGATCCGCAGGCAGAGGGTTATGGGTATTCTGCCCCCCCAGAACAGAAGCATCCCTGGGGTGTCTGGCAGTGCTGGGGTGTGTGATGCCCCGAGTACCCCACTCTCCCCGCAGCCCAGCCCATTAGCAGGTTGCTGGGAAGGCGTGATTCCCCCATATACCCCCCACACCCAGTTTCTTGCCCTGATTGTCATACACTCTTGCTTGGGCTAGCGGGCTCCAGAGATGCCGCTCTCCAGCCACCCAGCTCGGACGGCAGCCAGCACCAGTGGAGAAGTAAGGGTGTCGGTACCGCAACTCCCCCTACAATAACCTTGCGACCCCCCCCCCACACACACACACACACACAGCTCCTTTTTGGGTCAGGCCTTCTACAATTACAACACCCTGGAGTTTCAGATGTAAATAGCTGAATATCATAGTACAGACAAATGCAGGAGGAGATCCAGGAAAAGATATTCTGAAATAATGGTTTTC